GGAAGATTCTCATTGTGGATTTGGATGTACATCAGGTACATGACTTCCAACCTTTTACTCTTTGGTTTTATTTTTGAGAAAGACATATTTAATAATAGTGGATGAAACATTTACAGTTCAGAAATAAAATTTCTGAACTGACCAAAATGCTGTTGTTTTCCTGAATTATGTATTGTAAGAATGATATAAATAATGTTTTCCTTTCCTCTGTTCACTAGGGTGATGGAACAGCATTCATATTTAAGGATGAACCGGATGTTTTCACCTTCTCAGTGCATTGTGGGAAAAACTTTCCTGTGCGAAAGCAGCAGAGTGACCTAGATGTCAGTTTGGAAGATGGCATCGAAGACAAAGAGTATCTTTCCAAAGGTATTTTCATTTCACTTTCACTAATTTTCACAAAAACATATGCAGATCACTTTTTGACTTTTGAATAAATGTAAATAATTTCAATAAATCTCTATTACAAGGAATAGTTCATACAAAATGAAAATTTGCTGTAATTTTACCCTCAGGCCATCCAAGATGCAAATTAGTTTGTTTCTTCATTTGAACAGATTTGGAGAAATTTAGCATTACAGCACTTGCTCTGCAGTGAATGGGTGCCGTCAGAATGAGAGTCCAAACAGCTGATAAAAGCATCACAGTAATCCACACGACTCCAGTCCATCAATTAATGTCTTCTGAAACGAAAAGCTGTGTGTTTGTAAAACACAAATTCATCATGGCATTTTTTAACTTTAAACACTCTGGCCAAAAATGAGTCCATAATCCGTAATAATGCTTCCTTTTGTGAGAGAAAAAAAAAAAGGAATCCCCTGTTGTCCTCTCACATCAAAATCCACTGACATATTTGTTTAAAACAGATTTGGGCTGTTTTTGCTTGTAAACGGTGCTTGATCAGTGCATATTTCTCTCCTGATGCAGATCATTTTTCACTGAAAAAGCAATATTATGCATGGAGAACATTTATTGTATTTCATTGTATTGTATTTTAGCCATAAGCAATGGTTTGAAGTTAAAAATGTCTTAATGATGGATTTGTTTCTTACAAACACACAGAGCTTTTCATTTAAAAAGACATTAATTGATAGACTGGAGTCGTGTGGATCATTTTGATGTTTTTATCAGCTGTTTGGACTTTCATTCTGACAGCATCCATTCATTGGAGAGGATCTGCTGAATTTCTCCTAATATCTTCTGAAGAAAAACAAAGTCATCTACATCTTGGATGGCCTGAGAGTGAGTACATGTTCACCAAATTTTAGTTTTTGGGGGAACTATTCCTTTAAATAAACCAGTGTGTGATACTATGGTAAAATGCGTTAAGTAATTTCCTGTGCAGTCCAGGAACACCTCCCTTGGTTACTGGAAACATTCCGGCCGGGTTTGGTGCTCTATGATTCTGGAGTGGATCCACACTGGGAGGATGAACTTGGAAGACTTCATCTCACAGATGAAGGTGAATCCTTTCACTCTATTACGCACATATATCATACATCATAAAAAAAATCAAAGCAGTATTTTATGTAATTGACCCTTCAGTGACTTTGTGCATTTACCCGGCCTAGGAACACAGCTGGACTCAAATGAAGGTGTAGAACCATCTCAAGGATGATCAGAAGAAATGGACAGCACCTGAGTTAAATATATGAGTGTCACAGCAAAGGGTCTGAATACTTAGGACCATGAGATATTTCAGTTTTTCTTTTTTAATAAATCTGCAAAAATGTCAACAATTCTGTGTTTTTCTGTCAATATGGGGTGCTGTGTGTACATTAATGAGGAAAAAACATTAACTTAAATGATTTTAGCAAATGGCTGCAATATAACAAAGAGTGAAAAATTTAAGGGGGTCTGAATACTTTCCGTACCCACTGTATATATATATAACAACAACACTTTTCTTATTGAAATAAGCATAAATTAAATTATTTACGATAAATATTACCATGAGGTACATTTACAATTTTACTTTTTATTTATTAAAAAAAAATTGCATTATAGTACAGACCCTATTTGTTATGAAAATAATGTCACAATGGAAAAATACTTTATTTTCTTATGCAAAACATAATTTCTTTTTTGTTTGCTGCATAGCTATGGAGGTTTGTAAAACTACAGTATATTGTTCTGTATATTGTAATGTATTTCTCTCATGTGAGATGTGGTCCAGGCGGCACTGTCCTGGCAGGAGAGATCGCCCTGCAGAGGGGACTGGCGTGCAGTACAGCAGGAGGGACCCATCATGCCTTCCCCAGCTACGGCTCGGGCTTCTGTCTGCTCAATGACCTGGCTGTGGCTGCCAAACACTTGATGGGTGAGTCCACATCCAGGAGGAAGATTCTCATTGTGGATTTGGATGTACATCAGGTACATGACTTCCAACCTTTTACTCTTTGGTTTTATTTTTGAGAAAGACATATTTAATAATAGTGGATGAAACATTTACAGTTCAGAAATAAAATTTCTGAACTGACCAAAATGCTGTTGTTTTCCTGAATTATGTATTGTAAGAATGATATAAATAATGTTTTCCTTTCCTCTGTTCACTAGGGTGATGGAACAGCATTCATATTTAAGGATGAACCGGATGTTTTCACCTTCTCAGTGCATTGTGGGAAAAACTTTCCTGTGCGAAAGCAGCAGAGTGACCTAGATGTCAGTTTGGAAGATGGCATCGAAGACAAAGAGTATCTTTCCAAAGGTATTTTCATTTCACTTTCACTAATTTTCACAAAAACATATGCAGATCACTTTTTGACTTTTGAATAAATGTAAATAATTTCAATAAATCTCTATTACAAGGAATAGTTCATACAAAATGAAAATTTGCTGTAATTTTACCCTCAGGCCATCCAAGATGCAAATTAGTTTGTTTCTTCATTTGAACAGATTTGGAGAAATTTAGCATTACAGCACTTGCTCTGCAGTGAATGGGTGCCGTCAGAATGAGAGTCCAAACAGCTGATAAAAGCATCACAGTAATCCACACGACTCCAGTCCATCAATTAATGTCTTCTGAAACGAAAAGCTGTGTGTTTGTAAAACACAAATTCATCATGGCATTTTAACTTTAAACACTGGCCAAAAATGAGTCCATAATCCATAATAATGCTTCCTTTTGTGAGAGAAAAAAAAAAGGAATCCCCTGTTGTCCTCTCACATCAAAATCCACTGACATATTTGTTTAAAACAGATTTGGGCTGTTTTTGCTTGTAAACGGTGCTTGATCAGTGCATATTTCTCTCCTGATGCAGATCATTTTTCACTGAAAAAGCAATATTATGCATGGAGAACATTTATTGTATTTCATTGTATTGTATTTTAGCCATAAGCAATGGTTTGAAGTAAAAAATGTCTTAATGATGGATTTGTTTCTTACAAACACACAGAGCTTTTCATTTAAAAAGACATTAATTGATAGACTGGAGTCGTGTAGATCATTTTGATGTTTTTATCAGCTGTTTGGACTTTCATTCTGACAGCATCCATTCACTGGAGAGGATCTGCTGAATTTCTACTAATATCTTCTGAAGAAAAACAAAGTCATCTACATCTTGGATGGCCTGAGAGTGAGTACATGTTCACCAAATTTTAGTTTTTGGGGGAACTATTCCTTTAAATAAACCAGTGTGTGATACTATGGTAAAATGCGTTAAGTAATTTCCTGTGCAGTCCAGGAACACCTCCCTTGGTTACTGGAAACATTCCGGCCGGGTTTGGTGCTCTATGATTCTGGAGTGGATCCACACTGGGAGGATGAACTTGGAAGACTTCATCTCACAGATGAAGGTGAATCCTTTCACTCTATTACGCACATATATCATACATCATAAAAAAAATCAAAGCAGTATTTTATGTAATTGACCCTTCAGTGACTTTGTGCATTTACCCGGCCTAGGACTTTACCAGAGGGATCTTTATGTTCTTCAGACAGTCATTAAAAGGGGCATTCCTGTGGCTACTGTCATTGGAGGAGGCTATTCCAGAGATATTGATCGACTGGCGCGCAGGCACTCAATAATTCACAGAGCTGCATCAAAGGTGAGGTCACAGAATTCATAATGAAAGTAACATGTATTTCATGGACCTGTGTGAATTGAACATGGACATTATTGGGTGCCTTGTACCAATTTAATCTATATATTCATTTATTCTATATTCTACAGAAAGACACATTCTATGCTGCTGTTTTTACGTGTTGATGTTATTAAGAAGCATATTTTGCTTTTATAGTACTGCTGAGCTTTCTGTCCTCTTTATCACAAATGTGAACAACACTTTCAAAGGTTTATATGCTTTTAATGGTTCCCATTTCTGCATTTAGGTTTGGAGAGAACATGGACTTTAACTCCGAGATGAAAATGGACAGCAGGTGCTAAACAATCTAAGATTGGTGGGACCATATGAACGTTCCGCAGTGCCATTGTATGCAATAGATTTTATGAATAAAAATGCCGTATTTATTCAAGCGATCCTTTCAATTCTTACTCTTTTAATAATGTTTTTTTTTCATTATTATTATTATTATTTATAAATGGTTGGGTTTTACAAAGAAAAAAACTTGCTTGCCTCTTAAAATGGCAGTGTCGCTCACTGTTATTAGTAGAATTCTAAATTATTATTTAATTAATTTGTTTAATTACAAAAATACAATAATAAAAATAATTTAAATCATTCTTAATAATGCAGTTTTATTATAAACTGTTGTACAAAGCACAGAATTAATTACTGGTCTGTAATTAATTCTATACCTTTAATTAATTACAGATTAAAAATGAATTTGAGCCAGCGTTCAAATAAAAACAGATAAATGCTTTTATAATATAATAAAACAAGTTGTGTTTCATGAAGTAGAGAACTGATTAATAGTGTGTTGATATTACTTTTCTGGCCTATTATTTAAGAAGAACATATTTAAAGTAACCGGAAATTTGACCTTTTTCACTGTAAAGACATGTATTTGCACCAATGGGTCAGATAAAACTAAATATAGAGCTTTTATTATATTTAAGTCCAAAATACACATAAAAATGGTTCAAGTTTAAAGGAAAATTAAAGACCTTTGTTGAGACATTTTGACACGGTCAAGTTACACCAATACAAACATACATCTTGTGTAATCTATTAACAAGCTTTCGACTAGTTAAAATCTTGTTTAAAAGCTTCAGAGCACAACACAACAGCTAATACTAACCACACAACACAACACCTACACAGACAAACTCCTGAAGAGCCTTCTATAAGAAAATGTGCTCACATTGTTTGGTTCAGAAAAATGATGTGCTATGCTTTCTTTTTCAGGCAGGCATTGCTTAAGACAGTTAATAGTGATACACCATTAAAATCAGTGCAAGTGAAGTCAATTATTTTCAACTCAAAACTTAAGACATCACAAAGAATGGAGACTAAAGCTACATTTTAGAATAGCAAATTTTAAAGTACGACTAGCTTTAGTGTTACGACTTGGACCAACACTGGTCACGTCAAAGCATCGATACCTTGCTTGTTATTGCCACTGATACTGAACAGCTAATGTTAGCTAAATATTAGCTCTCTGGTCCCAATACTTAAAAATCTCAAACTAAAACTTTTAAAGACCTCAAAACGGATATTATTAATTAAAACATTTAAATTGAGATTTAAACCTTCCAGACTTGGACCTTCTCAGCCACTACGCACCAATTGGCGTGATCCAAGTAAGTGTGCAGAACATGGAGCTCGTCAACATGGTTTTGGATCAACTGTGTCAGTTCTCCTTCCCTGAATACGTGGTAGTATCTCAGACAAGAGTCCTTCAGCTGTTCGCTGCTCTGTCCACTCATCCCATCGCTTTCCAGAAGAGACGCTGTGCTTTCCTGCCTCTGCAAGGGCTCTTGTTGGCTCAATTTACCATCTACCTCCACGTGTCCTTCAAGAGTTGACTGATCCCTCTGGTAGGACACCAAGTCAGGCAATGGTACTGCAGAACAATCATGGACGAGCTCCACAGGAACAGTCTCATTTCCATTCCCAGAACTTCTGTTGTCATTTTTATGGACCTGTTCGTTGGGATCCGAGATGAAGACGTCTTCTTCTAGACTGGTTCTGGAAGAGGATGAAAAGAGGCTGGACATCTGCCTGATGAGACCTCTACTGCTAGTTCGCCGGCTTCTGCTTTCCGATGCTTCATCGACAGGGGTTTGTAAAGTGCTGGAAGAGGAGCGGGACACGGTCAGGCTGGTGAAGTCCAGCACTGAATCCAAAGATCTGGAGAAGAACCAAAGCCTTTGCGGTTTCTGCTGGCCGGGGCTGATCAAGTCTCCGGATTCGTCCACCATGGAGGATGTGCTTCTCACTTTCCTGTGCTTGTCGCTGGAAGCGGAGTCGTCGCTGACGCTTTGGGTTCCGTTGCCTCGCTCTCTGAGGGCAGGAGATAAAGGGGGATTGGGGTTCCAGGGAATGAAGATGTCCTGCTTCTCAAACTTGCGCCTCTTCTGCTCCATGGCCCAAACGTAAATCATGATCCGCCCTCCCACACGCAGGGTGCGCGCCATCTCTTTTATTGCTCGGACACGCCGTTCTTTGGTGGACATGTGGTGGATGACTAAACAATTGAAAGAAATTGTATTCATAGGTCATTGATATATATTCTACTGATTTCAAGGAATAGTTCTACCCAGAATTTAATTTGTTATTCACCCTATACACTACCATAAATACAAACATACATCTTGTGTAATCTATTAACAAGCTTTCGACTAGTTAAAATCTTGTTTAAAAGCTTCAGAGCACAACACAACAGCTAATACTAACCACACAACACAACACCTACACAGACAAACTCCTGAAGAGCCTTCTATAAGAAAATGTGCTCACATTGTTTGGTTCAGAAAAATGATGTGCTATGCTTTCTTTTTCAGGCAGGCATTGCTTAAGACAGTTAATAGTGATACACCATTAAAATCAGTGCAAGTGAAGTCAATTATTTTCAACTCAAAACTTAAGACATCACAAAGAATGGAGACTAAAGCTACATTTTAGAATAGCAAATTTTAAAGTACGACTAGCTTTAGTGTTACGACTTGGACCAACACTGGTCACGTCAAAGCATCGATACCTTGCTTGTTATTGCCACTGATACTGAACAGCTAATGTTAGCTAAATATTAGCTCTCTGGTCCCAATACTTAAAAATCTCAAACTAAAACTTTTAAAGACCTCAAAACGGATATTATTAATTAAAACATTTAAATTGAGATTTAAACCTTCCAGACTTGGACCTTCTCAGCCACTACGCACCAATTGGCGTGATCCAAGTAAGTGTGCAGAACATGGAGCTCGTCAACATGGTTTTGGATCAACTGTGTCAGTTCTCCTTCCCTGAATACGTGGTAGTATCTCAGACAAGAGTCCTTCAGCTGTTCGCTGCTCTGTCCACTCATCCCATCGCTTTCCAGAAGAGACGCTGTGCTTTCCTGCCTCTGCAAGGGCTCTTGTTGGCTCAATTTACCATCTACCTCCACGTGTCCTTCAAGAGTTGACTGATCCCTCTGGTAGGACACCAAGTCAGGCAATGGTACTGCAGAACAATCATGGACGAGCTCCACAGGAACAGTCTCATTTCCATTCCCAGAACTTCTGTTGTCATTTTTATGGACCTGTTCGTTGGGATCCGAGATGAAGACGTCTTCTTCTAGACTGGTTCTGGAAGAGGATGAAAAGAGGCTGGACATCTGCCTGATGAGACCTCTACTGCTAGTTCGCCGGCTTCTGCTTTCCGATGCTTCATCGACAGGGGTTTGTAAAGTGCTGGAAGAGGAGCGGGACACGGTCAGGCTGGTGAAGTCCAGCACTGAATCCAAAGATCTGGAGAAGAACCAAAGCCTTTGCGGTTTCTGCTGGCCGGGGCTGATCAAGTCTCCTGATTCGTCCACCATGGAGGATGTGCTTCTCACTTTCCTGTGCTTGTCGCTGGAAGCGGAGTCGTCGCTGACGCTTTGGGTTCCGTTGCCTCGCTCTCTGAGGGCAGGAGATAAAGGGGGATTGGGGTTCCAGGGAATGAAGATGTCCTGCTTCTCAAACTTGCGCCTCTTCTGCTCCATGGCCCAAACGTAAATCATGATCCGCCCTCCCACACGCAGGGTGCGCGCCATCTCTTTTATTGCTCGGACACGCCGTTCTTTGGTGGACATGTGGTGGATGACTAAACAATTGAAAGAAATTGTATTCATAGGTCATTGATATATATTCTACTGATTTCAAGGAATAGTTCTACCCAGAATTTAATTTGTTATTCACCCTATACACTACCATAAAACCCATATTTTTGCCATGTATGCAATCAATTTTATTACAAATATGAATCATTTAGTCAACTTTAAAGCTATATATTTATAGCCACCTTTTTAATAATGCATTTTTAATGTTCATATAGTTGTTGGGTTTACAAAGTAGAGAATCATTAGTTATTATTAGTTTGTTGACTACCTGTTTAATTCAGCATTTATTATTATTATTAATTACCTTATATATTTATATATTATTTTAATTACCTATATATATATATACTGGATTTTTTTTTTCTCATTTTGTCTCTCATAGTTGAGGTATACCTATGATGAAAATTACAGGCCTCTCTCATCTTTTTAAGTGGGAGAACTTGCACAATTGGTGGCTGACTAAATACTTTTTTCCCCACTGTATATATATACACACACACACACACACACAGTGAAATTGTTATTTTAATATTTTTCATTGGCATGGTATTTCATTGGTATAATTTAAAATAATGTACTGATTCAGTACGAGTCAATATTGTCTCAATTCAATAATGTCCCACATCAATACTGTTGATTGTTATTAATAATAATAATAATAATAATAATTTTAAATTAAAAACTCAAATAAAAATATGCACACTAAAAACATTTGAAAACCTTGTGAAGACTTACAGAAAATGTTTGACCTCTGTCATTGCCAACAAAGGGTATATTATAACAAAGTATTGAGATGAAATTTTGTTATTGACCAAATACTTGTTTTCCACCATAATTTGCAAATAAATTCTTTAAAAATCCTACAATGTGATTTTCTGGATTTTTTTTCTCATTTTGTCTCTCATAGTTGAGGTATACCTATGATGAAAATTACAGGCCTCTCTCATCTTTTTAAGTGGGAGAACTTGCACAATTGGTGGCTGACTAAATACTTTTTTCCCCACTGTATATATATACACACACACACACACACACAGTGAAATTGTTATTTTAATATTTTTCATTGGCATGGTATTTCATTGGTATAATTTAAAATAATGTACTGATTCAGTACGAGTCAATATTGTCTCAATTCAATAATGTCCCACATCAATACTGTTGATTGTTATTAATAATAATAATAATAATAATAATAATTTTAAATTAAAAACTCAAATAAAAATATGCACACTAAAAACATTTGAATCAAACTAAATATAGTATTCTTAATGTTTTTCATATGCAAATAATTTATTTAAATATTACTTATAATTAAAAATATTATATTGATTCAGCGAGTCAATATCCCACAACAATACTGTTGATTATTATTATTATTCATAATAACAACAACAATAATAATAAAACAATAGCAACAATAATTTTAAATTAGAAAAAAAAAAATTTTAATTAGTTTATAAAAATAAAAATATGCACACTAAAACATTTGAATATATAGAATTATAATATATATCTATATATATCTATATAGAGAGAGAGAGAGAGAGAGAGAGAGAGAGAATTTTTTCCAATTAAGAAATAAAATACAGGTTTAGGAGCTGGAAAAATAATAAGAAGAAGAGAGAACAATGTCAAATTTACCGTCCCTCACATAGACGCTGCATTAGACCTAAAACATTTGAATATATAGAATTATAATATATATCTATATATATCTATATAGAGAGAGAGAGAGAGAGAGAGAGAGAGAGAATTTTTTCCAATTAAGAAATAAAATACAGGTTTAGGAGCTGGAAAAATAATAAGAAGAAGAGAGAACAATGTCAAATTTACCGTCCCTCACATAGACACTGCATTAGACACACCCTCGCATTAGTGTTAACAGTTTTTTTGTAATTTGATGCAAAGGTGATATAATACAAAGAATAGTGTTATAAATGTACATGCATTTTTTCAAAAATACAAATATGAAAAAATTGAGGATTTACGATGCCGATGACGGTTAAACGCGTCATCACAGTCTTGTGAAAATTGTCCATATAAAACCAAAAATCAATGCAGAAAGCCCAGCTCATAGCGGTGGGCTGTTTCCTGCGTTTAGTGGGGGCTTTCAGAGTGTTTAAACCATTATGAGACTCTGATATCATCAATGGGCACATTAATCTTCTCTCTGAGGATTCACGAGGGGTTGCCAGGTGACCCAGCTGTACAGCCTGACAACAAATACTCCCCGGCCTCTTCCAAGAAGCACTCATCTCCTGTAGCCTAGTAACACCTCTTGTTTCCTCCACCTCATAAAGCCTAAATAAACCTATATATCCGCTCCATTTCAAATTAATGGCAGCACTACCAGCTGATTGAAATTAAATGGTTGGATCGTGGAAATACTAGTGTTAATGTGGGTGTATGACATTATGAATTGTGCTCCTATAAATGCACATCCTCATAGATCATTATGCTAATGATCTCATGTCAGAGCCTGTAACGCAGATGTCCGCACTGCATGTTCCTTTTACTGTTCCAATACATTCTGCACTAAAATAAAACATGGATGTGCATAAAAGGAAAGAAAAATCGTTGTAATTCATTGAAATGTGAAATAATTTTGACTAGTTTAATGCCTAATATGGATGGGAATTAAGATAGTAGTTCTTGCTGGTTGCACGCAGCAACAGAAAGCACAACTAGTGTGGACCATTCACAAACAAATGACTCTAATGAGTTGATTCTTGTGATTCTGGTAAAAAAAAAAATATTCATAAACTTGTGCTCTGTCAGGTTGAATCATTCTAATGACTCACTGAATCAATCAGAACAGTTCTTCACTTATTCACTGAACTAAAAGTAACAAATAAAGTGCTTCCTCAAAAGTACTAAAACAATCAATAATGGAATCCTTAATGAACAGACTCATTAAGTGGAATCTGCATCAGAACCAGAATGAAATTGAATGTCAGGGTATTATAGTTAACTAAAACTATTTACATTACTTGAAATAAAATAAACGTTAAATGAAATAAAATAAAATATTACCAAAATATATATATATATATATTTTAGCTAGTTCAGTGTAAACATTTCTCATGTTCATTTAGTTTAACTTAATGTTTTAAAATAACAAACTGAACATTTAAAAAAAAAAAAAAAAAAAAACTGTATAGACATTTAAAGAACTAAACAATTACTAACAAAAATGACAAAAATACACATCAAAATGGTGAATGTTAAGATGTTTGTCTATGCAAAAATTGTAAATTATATGATTAAAATGTATTTAGTCGAGATATATACTATATGTGTGCTTTCTCCGTTTTATGCATTTTTTAAGTCCAATTAATTTTTAAATGAATAATATAAATATTGGATTGTAAGAAGTAGAGAATTAATTTGTCTCAGTATTTTTTTCCTATGATGATTATTAATCAGTTAAAAACTAA